ACTAGAGATCAAATTTGTAAATCGATAAAAAAAAAGTGGAACCGAAAGGTTACTGGAAAAATTTTCTTCGCAATCAAGAGTGACAGATCAATGGCATAAATTAAAAGAGGGGCGTGGTACGTGCTGCAACCACGAACACCCAAAAACACAACTTTGATTTTGTAGCTACAAATCGGTAATTACAGGGCGACGCACATCGTGACATGGCAAAACACATATGGTGACCTCACCCACTCAAACGAAACTTCAGCATCTTCTCCTTCTTCTCGTACTCGCAGTTGAGATCCTGCACACCTTGAGTGACGAGAGTGGCCTTGTCTAGCTGGCACTGCTCCTCAGTCTCTTTCTCTATCTTCTCCACTTCCAACTTTCCTTGCTCCTCGATGAAAGATTCCATCTTGGCAATCTATAACAGATACATACAACATGATTTTAGCAGAAAAACATACATCATGATTACAACGATACATACATGACTGCCGACTTGTCTGTTTATATATACACAACACACACACAAAACACACACACACACACAATATATATATATATATATATATTATATATATATATTATATATATATTCTTTATTTGTTATTTATTTATTGAGGCCTGGTCACGGACCGGGCCGCGGGGGCGTTGACCCCCGGAACTCTCTCTCTCAGTAGTAGTAACCAGTTACCAGTCTAGTAACCAGTTACCGTAACCGTCCGTTGATTCAACTCATATTGTGCTGAGCTGACACTATTTCAAAACACCCACTACGGGGTACTGGCCAGCCGGCTAGTCAGTGTTACGAGTGGAAGCAAGGAGATAGGTACGGCTGGCGGGCTCTGTCCACATATCAGTAATTATACGTATAACAGCCTACGTGAGTATTTCTACCCTAATCCACGTATCGAACTCCCACATGATAAATGGTGTACAGCGGTGTGGAGCGTGGATTTACGTTTTTAAGGGTAATTCAAAGAGACCTCATCCACCTCACTGGATCAATCTGTTCCACCAGTTGAGGAGAAAGACTTAGCTCCCACTGACTTCCCAGATGAAGTCAAGCGTTTGTTGACTCTGTTGAACAAACGTCGTAAAGCCATTGCTTTACAGGTGAGGAGATGGGTATAACGAACTTATTGTCCCATCGTATTCCACTTGAACCTGGTACTAGACCTATCTACATACCTGCGTACAGAATGCCTCATTCACAAGTTGCTGTCGCGAAGAATTTCAAAAACTTGATGGGGATTATTCACCGCCAAAATTTTGGG